CCTGGCCCGTGCGCCGGGGTCTCGGCCCCTCCCCAGCCTCCCCTTTCACTGGCTAATAGAGAGCGGTGGGCTCAGTCCTGCCCCTCTGGGCCGTTTTTCTCTGCTCAGCACAGGCACCTCCTGGCAGGAAGGGATCAGCAAGGCTCGAGGGGACCAGGCTGGCTGTTGGAGTCCAGCTCCCCCGTCAGCCCTCACCCTTGGGGCACGGCGGAGCCCCCAGAAAGCTTTGTGCCTCTTCTGGCAGGGGGTTAAAGGGGACGAAGCCAACCTGCCCTGTGCAACGGGCATAGCTTTGCCCCTGGTTGGCAAACAGCAGCTCTTTGTCCCGGCGGGCTCAGTGAGGGCGAACCTGGCACCACTGAGTACTGCCCAGCTCATGACAGTTGTTGCACATCAGATTGGTAGGCGAGACCAGCTGAAGGCTTGGGGGGAGCAGAGCCCTGCTCTGCTGCATCCCTTAGCTGCTCGGCCTGTAGAAATGGGGCGAGCAGGATGGGGACCAGGCGGCTGCCCCCTCTTCAAGGGTGCAGAAACCCACCCCAGCGAGAGCCGGGACTTTTGTTGCATCTGCTGTTTGTTTTGGTGCAAAATAAAAGCTGTTGGTAGCTGGAAATTAGGGGATGGCAAGTTTGTGGCAACTGATGCAGGAGTCTGCAGGTGCAGGGACAGCCTCGGAGGGGCTGTGGGGAGCCCCCAGCCCGTCTTCCTTGCCTGGAGCTGCTGCAGGGGGAGGCCAGAGCAGGAGCAGAGGGGCCGGTGGGTGCGTCTCCCAAAGGCCCTGCTCCCGTGTCCCCTTGCAGCCCTCGGGCCCTTGACCTTCCCGCAGGTGATGTGGGGGCCTGGGGAGCGGTTGCAGCGTGCGAGGGGGTTTGTGTGCAGCGCTCGCCTGCCTCTTCCCCTGCCAGTGGAGCAGGCAACAGGCACCAGCCTGGAAAAGGGGAATTTAGCCAAGCTGGTAGGATACGGCTCCCTGAGTTGCTGCTGCGAGCTCCTGCCGGGCCGTCCTGGCCCCTTGCTTTCAAACACTCTGCAGAGCCAGAGGCCGATCCCACGTCTCCATCCCGGTGTCTCCGGACACAGCGCGGGGCCCTGGCAGGCTCGCGGTGTGGCACCAGCACCCCAAATGCTGCCGGCGTGGATGGAGGGAGACAAAAACAGGTGAGAAGGGGAAAAGGGAGAGGGAAGCCACTTAAGACATGCTACGGGTGGGCCAGGGCAGGGCAGCCCAGGGGAAGGAGCTAAAATCAGCCTAAGAGAAAGTATCCCAGGGAGGAAGAGCCTTGAGGAGGGCGATGTGCTGGAAGAAGGGCAGGGAAGGGGGGAAAAAGCACCGCCCGGCTGTGTCCTGCAAGCCTGGTTTGACGGCTCCCAGCCCAGGTATCTGCTGCCGAAGGACCCCCTGTCGGTGTCCCAAAAGCCGAGGCGGGTGAAGTCCGAGCCC